CGTTGAACCATCTCGAGGTCATGCTTACAGAACGGTACGTGGTTCATCGTACTCGAATGAATTGCAGTCGTTGCACCTCATTTCGTGAAATTTTTGCATCTCGGTCGACGAAACTCTTGACTTAACAGACGTCTACACCAGCCATTGATCAACAAAGAGGCGGAATCCAATAGAACATCGAGGGCGTGGTCGGCCGGCCATCTTCCCCTAATAAAGCTTGAAGTCCACCGTCTGTGTACAACTAGGAAAAGTACCTCAAGAAGTGCTAAGTTACCATTAGTTCGTGAATTTGAACTGAGCTGGTTATCAGTAGGTTCCAACCGTTTCATGGACGGAACCGACCTGATTGGGTGGTTCCTGTTGCATTCCGTTCCGATTTCCCAGATGCTTTTATCTGAATTACCGGTCTGGAAATTTTTGTCTGGGTAAATATGCCTGAGGCTTGCCTACCGTCAGATACAGGCAAGAGAAGCGTCAGAGAACACTGCAAATTTTCCATATATTATATAGAAAAGCACAGTTAATGGCTGTCATTAACTGTGGTTTAACTGAGGCAATGTTTCCACTAATCAGCAGCTCCTTACAATATTTTTTTTTGCTCCGATAAAATATTCACTTCAAGTGAAAGTAAAACAATAATTAATAATTTGGGTTTCATCACAACTTTCCTGCACCATCGGACACCTGGATGGAGACACCTTTGGATTTCAGGAAAGCTGATGTAAAAAGCAGCAAAGACAAATAAAGATACACTGCAGCATATCACATTCCATAAATGCTCCTGGACTCCTGAGGGAAAATGAAAGTGTAGACGTGTCAGGAAAGACATGGCGGATGACGTGGAAAGAAAGACATGGCGGATGATGTGGAAAGAAAGACATGGCGGATGACGCGGCAAGAAAGACATGGCAGATGACGTGGCAGGCGAATCTGATCAGGCAATTAATCGGTTAAGATGACACAACGGAAAAGTTCGAGAAGGAGCAAGGCAAGCCGAAGAACGTACATTAAACTCGGGAGCAGAGATCACTCCAGGGATTATATCAAATAGAATAGAGACCATGGAATGTTCACGATTTTATTCTCGAGGCTCCATGAAGTTCGCTGAAAATCGGCCGGAATGGAATCTAGACCCCGCATCCCTTCACGTAGGATGCAGTATCCCTTCCTTGGCATTTGGATTTCCATGCCTCCCAGGCGAGGAATCCGTTCCCTTTCAGCCGCTGGAACTCGTCGAAGATCATCCTCACGCACTGAGCGTCGTCCGTGATGTCGTCGTTCAGCAGAGCTGCATCCAGGCGAGTCCGTTTAGTTTCGGGTCCGTACGACGCGGAGCGAAAAACGGAAGGTCGGCTTACATTGGCAGGGGACGCGGCAGCCGGCCGGTGCGTTCGGGTAGCACCAGTATCTGTTGTTGATCTGGAAGATGCCGTAATCGTAAGATCCGTCCCAATTGACGGGACCGCGGACGGAGCTGTCCAGGGCGCTCTCGTTCTCCGCGAGGCACACCCCTGCATCGCGCATTTCATGCGATTTCGTCAAATGCAATTTTAACAGGTCGGCATGCGAATGGAGAAACTCACAGTCGCCGAGCTGGTATCGGGGAAAGCCGAGCCCGGCCAGCTTCTGAGCCAGCTCGCACCGGGTGAATCTCTTGGACGCGACCGAGCGCGGCCCGGTGACGACCAGGAGGACGCAGAGCCCCGTCCAGAGCGTGGTCGCTTTTCTCCCTGGCATCTTTCTGTCTCAAAGCTGGAGTTCCTGCTGGAAGTCGCATGTTTCGTGAGATTCCATAGGGTGGGTGGGGAATTTATCGATATTTTGAATTTTTTTAAAGATCCTTTTTTTAATACAATTTTCTTTTCTCGGCACGAAGACGACTTGTCGCGTGGGTTCGACAGAATGAAATGGAAAGAAAAAGAGTAATATATGGGATGAAAGCGTCCGACCGCGTTATTTCTCGGTTAAACGGAGAGCTGACCGTCAAACAAGTGGCTCTTTAATTTATCACTTGACTTCCTTAATAATAGAACGGCAAAACGACCGGCGAGACGCGAATCGACTTGGTGACATAAATGTAATCGAAGCGGAGGATCCACTTACTTTACGAGGCGGCGACTGAGGAGCTCGGAGGTTTCCTGCCATTTTGGCGACCTAATCCCTCTTTATATATATGTTAGGCTAGGGCAGATGCAAGCCATGAGGGCAGATGTAAGCCTGCACACATCACGCGAGAGGTTATTCCCTCGGACAGGGCTGTCCGATCCGAAGCCGAGTAACAGCTCTCGAATCCGAATTGGACGAAGACCGATTGGAAAATTCGCGTGGCAGCGGGGTCTCGGTTGCACTCAACAGCAAAAATTAAATCCACGATTTTCCTCCGTTCGTATTTCCATGGGGCAATTTACAGCCGTAACTCGAGTGGAGATTCGCTCGCTTCGATGCTATTTATTTGCACCGAGAACGTGAACTTGAAGACGAAGGCGGCTCGATGGACCGAAGGCGGCTCGTACGATCTAGCAACACTGTTTTCGAGATCCGCTTTGGCTGGATCACATTTGGTCGTCTAAAAAAGAATAGAAAAAAGAAGAGGCGAGATGAGACTAAGCCAACTGCGAGGAATTTCTGCTCTTCAGAGATCCGGGTGCAATTCTGTTCTGGCGTGGGCTGGCCTCGTTTAGCTCCCGGATCCTGCAAAAATGTTTGATCCTGCAAAGAAAAAGACTATTTTTGAGTCTCTTCGTCGTTTCTTCAGGAACTGGTGACTTTTTTTCCAATCTAAAAATCACTGGAAACTGGAAATTTTCGATTCTCCAAGCGGAGAATGGAACATTTTCGCAGGGATGATTATTTTTCGTAGAAAGGTTGAAATAATAATAATTTTAAAAAATACTAGAGGGGGGGGGGGAAGTCTTTATTATTATTTTTTTTAGGAAGTTTTCTTTCCTTCGGGATGCAGCCTGCAACGCAAAACAGGAAAAAATAATAGAAGAGAGAAACAAAGCAAAAGTACTGTTTCGAAGCAAAACAGAATTGAAGGAAATAAATTCGTTGTGAACCGGGGACTTCGTGCGTGGTTCACTTTTCACCTTCGTTTCATTTTTTTTTTCCGGTACCGACCGACCGCGATCACGCGTGGCGAAATATATTAATGTTTTGGTCGATTCTCGTGCGCGTGGTGCGGCTGGTTCCATTGCTCTCAATTAGTTATCAAGTAATTAATTATTGAGCCGTCTACTGAAGAACTTGGCTTTTTCAGGGTGTTTTACTTTGAAACCGTTGCGTTTGTTATTGTGTCCCTGTTTCAAGAAAAACATCTTTTTATGATTCGCATATAAAACCAACGAAGTTTCACTTCTTTTTATTCGTGCATCGTGTTGCTGCATCCCTTCACCTAGGATGAAGGCTTCCTTCCCTGGCATTTGGCTTTCCATGCCTCCCAGGCATTTGGCTTTCCATGCCTTCCAGGCGAGGAATCCGTTCCCCTTTCCACCTTTGGAACTCGACGATCGTTTTGTCGCACGTCTCGGATTGCTCGATACGGTGCGACAGTAAAAATGATCAGCGTGGGATCGTAACGATCCTAACTGTCGAGATCCTAACGATCCTAACCGTTGGTCTGCCGCCTAGTGCTCGCTGAGATCAGCTATCGATCCGATTTCGAGGCCAATGAGGAAACGTTGAACCATCTCGAGGTCATGCTTACAGAACGGTACGTGGTTCATCGTACTCGAATGAATTGCAGTCGTTGCACCTCATTTCGTGAAATTTTTGCATCTCGGTCGACGAAACTCTTGACTTAACAACGGTAGGTCTCTCGACACGTTCGGCGATGTTAAATTGGATGTGGCAAACGGAGAGAGAGAGATTTAGGAGTTTCTATCGACGAGGACCTCGTTTTCCTCGCACGCGCAAGCGACGGTGGCCAAATGCAACAGGATTCTAAGTTACATTCGTCGGTCGGTTGAAGGTAGGGCATGTCGCGGTATTCTTCCGTTCCAAAGATCCAATACAATAAGTACCTAATAAACTAATAAATTACCTGGAGCATTCTCGCTTATGTGATTCGTTTTCGCACGATGACGTACTTCAAGATTTGAAAAAAAAAAATTCAGTAAAACAATAGATTCTGGAGCAGTTGAAACCAACTTCTTGGAAATAAAAAATGTTTGTGTTCTTGGAAATTGCGAATGGAGTCTCGCGAGTTGGGGCAGCGGCTGCGAGCCAGACGCGAGGCGCGTCTGGTTCATCAACTGTACAGTACAACTGTGCCAAGTGTACAGTACAACTGTGCCAACTGTTACAGTTGGCTGCGCCAACTGTAAATGAAACTAATTTTGACCCGCGAGGCGAAATCGCCGGCCCAAGGACGCCAGAATGATGCAGAAGGCCACTTGAGTATGAAGTGCCGTGCTGGCAGCGCTGGGACTTCTGAGTCGGTATCGCTTCCAACCGAGGTATGTGCCTTCCCTATCTCTCTCTCTCTCTCTCTCACCTCTCTCTCTCCTCTCGGTCTCTACCTCCGACCTCCTCATCTCAGACCATTCCGGGCGGCGAGGACTTGACGCTTGACTCGGCTTGGCGGGAATGCGTGATCAACGTCGTTCAGCGCTCTCGTGAGAGATTTCAACCGACGCATTGAGAACTGCTGAAGGACTTCCGGGACGATGGGGACGACTGTTGATGAAAAAATATCTTCGGTATGGCATCGTTATTTGCGATATCTTGGCGTGCAGCTATATCCTTGCCTAACTATAGGGTGCATGGAAAGTCATTGACTATTTAACTTTAAAAATAAATATTAAGTAATATAAAATTCCACAATTAAATGATATAGGAACTCAAAGACAAATTTCAGGGCTACATTTCATTACAAAATAATAGGAGTCCTCAACATAACAAAGATAAAGAGGGCATCTCTCGTTGAGAATGTCCTTTTTAAATCATTAGCTTGAATCTACCACATACTGCGCGGTGAATCTGACTTGAAATGCCAAAACTAATGGTAACATCAGGCTCTTTCCATGTTTCTCTTTGTTCACCATAAAATTTTGACTTAGTAATTGGAAATTGAACTTTCGATACGAGTTGCCCTCGTCCGTTTCAGCTGCAGAAATACTAAGGAAAATGAGCTTGATGTGGTAATTGATGGTAATCACTTGAACGTTTCATTTCAGAAATTCTCGATCGGAGATCTTCGAAGGAAATTGAAGCTTTCTACTCTGAAAAAGCCGAACCTTCGAACATTATTCATGGTCATCGCAATATTTTCAATCATCGGCTTTTTTGCACTCATGCACGAAGCGTTGATGAGCAACGACGGCTTAGTCGAGCGTCTGCTCAAGGCTAGCCGAAGTTCTCCGTGGGGCGTCGTCAACGGTCGAATGGAGGACAGGGTCTTCCAACTTCCGTGGAAGAATCTCGAAGGCGACGGGATCCTGTTCCTGGAGATGTTCGCAGCAGATCGCCTGCGCACAAGACAGATTTGCGCGATCGATTCTGTCGCGAGGATGCATCCAGAGAAGGCCATTTACATGCTCACGACCGGCAAAGAGTTTCTCGTGCATCCCGTCATGTCGCAGCTTTTGAAGCATCCCAACGTCTTCTTTCTTCACATGGACTTGGAAGACGTGTTCAACGGAACTATCATGGAATCCTGGTACCACGAAGGCAAGTGGCGAAAGAGCAAATGGCCTGAGGTGCACATGAGCGACGTCCTACGCTCGTGGCTCTTGTACACTTACGGTGGACTTTACCTGGACTTGGACGTGGTGATGATGAAGCGATGGTCCTGCAACAACTGCCTCGGGACAGGCTATGAGTATATAACCACAGTGGTACTCTGCTTCTCGTCGGGGAACAAATTCATCCGAGATCACCTCCTGGAGTTGCTCAGACGTTACAATCCGGATGTTTACAACTATAACGGGGGGGTGATGATGAGGGACCTCTTACTAAAACGGTGCAATGTGACCGGGAAAGATCTGGTGAATCGAAACGATATCCTGGTCTGTCCCGACGTGACCATCTTGCCCAAAGTGGCAGCCGAGGCTCTGAATTATTACGAGAGGGGTCTCTTTTTTGACGCCAATCAGGCGGACAAGGTGCTCTCTCGGTTGCAGAACAGTACCTTGGCCCACGTGTGGAATTCCGTCACGGCAGGCACGAAATTCGATCTGAAAGCTGATACGGCTTACAGTCGCCTCGCATGGGAATTTTGTCCTTCCGTGGCAGAGACTGGTCTCATCTATGAAGATTCTGATCGTCAAGTGGTGCCGCAGTCTAACGAAAATTAAGTTTTCACATTCATGTTTTTGTGACGATCCCATTCGCTTCCATCCTCACCTCCAGGTAGCTTGCCGTAAGGTGCCCAGGTTTGCTTTGGGAGACCCTAATTTAATAAAATCAACTGAACGAAATCCCACAATGGTTTTTTGCATTGGAAAAAGAGCAGAAAAAAAGATAATACGACTGACTGAATACGCCCGATAAATCGGAATGCCAGGATTCAAAAAGATGCTTTTTTTCGTATAGCTCCGAAATACTTTTATTGTGACAAGACTATTTTCACGTACCAACTAAATGCGAAAAGTTTACATTTGCAATACTTTGAGTTTCATTCTTTTCCTCCCAATGTGACACGAAAGATCTTCATTCCGCATAAGTTATCACGGGAAGAAGTCCAGTCTATACGGTGGATGTTCCATTACCTCCCAGAAGAACGTTTCCAAGGAGTCCATGGTCGCTTGGGTCATATGCGGTCTGGTGTTGTCGTGAATGAACATCATTCCATTTGTCAGGTGACCTCGGCGCTAGCTTTTTATAGCCTCATGAAACGTGGCAAGTGTCTGGCAATATCGTTCGGCATTAACTGTCTCCCCATGCGATTTCCACGTGTTTGGGGAGCCAAGAAGCGCATGAAGGGACGTCACTTTACGTCGGACGCTTCAGTGATGGATACCGTTATGGACATTTTGAACCAGTTGCAATGACCGAGGCGTCACAAGGATAGTGTCTCAATGGAACGAATGCCTATATGCCTATGGAAATTAAAAAATAAATGATCCACGTTTCTTGATGTGAATCAACTGAAAGTGAGTCAACGCGTGTTTCACGCGTTGACTCACTTTCAGTTGATTCGCCCTCACACTTGTGCTTTACGTCCACGTGGTACCTTGCGTCTGGCCTCGGTCTGAAAATAAGTCCTGGTGCCAAAATGTGCGCACTTGCTGCAGCGAGTGTGCGGGACTCGGGGAATGGGGGTC